GCCTCGGCCCGCACCCGTGATACGGACCGAGAATCTGATGATGTCCGTGGCGAGCCAGAAGGGACTTGTAATGAAGGCAGCACGAGCTTCTTTTGCTTGGAGGCCGGGAGGATCTCGTCCAGGTCGACCGGCACGCCGAGGGAGACGAGAAAGAGACGGCGGATTCGCGAACGGATCCAATCTGGAGGAGCCAGCGGCGGAGGTGCCACCAGCTGCGACCACAGTGACGCACTGCGCGGTGTAATGAAGATGGGATTTTCTTTCGTCAACGGTGGCGGGGAGCTGACGTCTAGGCTCTCTGGGGGAAAGAGGGTGTTGAGGTACGGGTCGACAGCTTGTAGGACGTCTTCGCCGTCTAAGCCGTCAAAGTCTGGTATATCCTGGATTGAGGTATTAGAATAGTCAAACGAACTTGGAATAGCAATGTGCTTACGAAAGGCAGTGCTGGTACTTGTGGTAAGCTGGGCGCTGGAGCCGGAGCTGGAGCTTGGAACTCGGGTTCTTGGAATCCATCTTCAAAGTCGTCAAAGTCACCGTCGGCCTCAGCACCCTCTTCAAAGTCGTCGAAATCGTCACCAAAGTCATCATCATCCTCGTCTCCGCCTTCAGCGTCATCTCCTTCTTCGTCATCGTTGTCAGCTGCATCGGGAGGAGGCGCAAGGCCGGCGCTGGACGGAGCAGGCGAGAGTGCCGTCATGGAGGGTTGCCGCTTCATACGAGGCGAGCTTGGTGTTGATAGCGCAGGTGATACAGGGGAGAGATCTACGAAGAATGACGCCAGGTCAACGACAAAATGCTCTTTGAATTTCAGGGATCTCTACATCGTACCGGAACTGCCACCCTCCTCAGTCTCGCCGTCAGGCTTGACAATCAAGTCGGCTGGGGCATCTGCCTTGCGCTTCTCCAAGAACTCCTCTGAGTGCGGCCCTGAATCGCCCGGGGCCTCCTCGACGACAGTCTTGGGAATGACTGGCGACTTGGGCGCACTGTCTGCCGTCGACGACGCCTCGCTGCTGTTCTTCTCCTGGATAGCAATCTCGTCCGGCTCAGCATCACCCTCCCTCAAGCGGTACGCCTCTGTTCCGGGGACCTCGCCGTACGACGGTTCATCGTCGACTTTCTCTACGCGGGTTTTGGGAATCGGAGACGTTCCGGGGCTGAGGGGGGCGGATTGCGCATCGGAGAAGTGGTCTTCTGAGTCGGAGGCGTTGGCTGCAGATTGTTAGACAAAAACGGCTGCACGATCATCAAGGGAGACATTGACAAGGGGTGGGGGTTGCTTACCCAGATCGTGTGCGCCAGGATCGCTAGTTCCAGACCGTTTCGGCGGTGAAAGAGCCTCGTCGTCTGACATGATTCCGTTATGAGCCCAATTGAGAGCTGTAGGAATAATAGAGTAATGTTTCTTGAGGTTACAACAAGCTGAGGCAGCTTAGGGAGTTATCGATGGTGGGAGAGAATAGGAGTGGGCAGTGGAGGGGGAGCCTGTCGATTAGCGGATACGTAATTGTGTGGGCCGAATAGGTATAGGTAGGTAGCAACTAGTAAGAACGATATCCCCAACTCGATGATTTGAGAGAAACCGAAACTTTTGAAGTAGTCAAGCTGAGGCAAGGGCTTGTTGGCACAAAGACGAGTGGAAAGAATGAGAGCGACTTTTTCAGGCTCTTGGGCTGGGTGGCATAAGAAAAGCAGGCTCGCAGACGGTACCTATCAAGGCTCAAGCACCTCTTGCAGCTTCTAGACTCGCCCGCCAAGCATCACGTGGGGCACACCCCGGTTAATTTCGCGCTAGTACTTGATAGGCAATCTGTCCCTGGTCCTGGGTCTTTGGGCAGGTGCAGCGCGCCAGTCGCGTGGAGGAAAGGCCTGAAAGGCTGGAGCATCACAAAAAAAAAGCTGTCGACCATCAACACCAGTTGCAGCTCCCCCCAACAACCGGTAGCAACCACACGTCGCAACGAGTCAGCGCATATCTACGAGCCAGATCCGATTGCTTCATCGACGAACAACAGAGCTTTAGGGTGTCGATTCGCACCTCAATGCGACGACACTGAACCGAACGAGATACGATTGTCCAGACATCAGCTTGTTGTTACTAGCTCGCATATAGCTTGCGAGACTCCGTTAGGCTTCATCTCGACAGACCCCAATCGATTCACGAACCTTCCGCACAATGTCCTTCAGCTTCGGTAACACAGCTACGCCGACGTCAGGCAGCGGCTCGACCCCGGCAACCTCTGCGCCCGCATCTGGAGGTCTCTTCGGCGGCGCTGCTGCCTCCAGCGGCACTCCCAGCTTTTCCTTCGGCAACCTTGGATCCGGAGGAGCGGCAGCTGGATCGACCGCCAGCACACCGGCTTCAGGCGGAGGTCTCTTTGGACAGAACACTGCACAGAAACCAGCAGGCGGACTCTTTGGCGGTGGCACGCCAGCCGCTGCTGCAGGAACGCCTGGATCGGCTGGAGGAGGTCTCTTTGGCGCCAAGCCCGCTGCCGGTGCTTCTTCGACTCCCGCATCTGGCGGCTTGTTTGGAGGAGCGGGTGCTTCTACACCTAGCACATCCACGCCTACTGGAGGGCTCTTTGGTGGCGGCGCCGCTGCCTCGACCGGCACACCGGCCGCATCGTCAGGAGGTCTTTTCGGAGGAGGTGCGGCGGCGAAGCCAGCTGGCGGTCTCTTCGGCGGTGGAAACACTGCCAGTCCTGCTCCCACTGGAGGCTTGTTCGGTCAGAATGCTGCAGCCGGCGCGTCGACCACACCCGCTCCTGCCGCTGCTGGAGGCCTGTTTGGTAACAAGACCGCCTCAAGCACACCCGCCGGTGCTCCAGCAACCCAGGCCACTCCCGCAAAGCCTATGTTCTCTCTAGGAGGATCTACCACACCAGCCGGAGCTCCGCCTGCTGACAAGAAGCCAGCTACTGGGGGCCTGTTTGGAGCTGCTGCGGCGTCTGGATCTGCTGCGGCCGGCGCCGCACCGGCTACGACTGCTTCGACGTCCCAACCTCCCGCCAGCGGTGGCCTCTTCGGTGGTGCGGCTCAGTCCAAGGCCGCATCTACAGCGCAGCCAGCCAGTGCCGGTGGTCTTTTCGGCGGTCAAACACCACAGCAGCCTGCTGCGGCCGGTGGTCTTTTCGGAGGCTCGAAACCTGCTGCTGCCGCCGCTCCTAGCTCCGGTGGTCTTTTCGGCCAAGGCGCTGCCACCACTACCTCAGCACAGCCGGCTTCCACTTCTGCCGCTGCTCCCGCTGCCGGCGGTGGACTCTTTGGCGGCGCAAAGCCTGCCACTCCTACAACCTCAACACCAGCTGCGGCCCCCGCCGGTGGTCTGTTTGGCGGTAACACATCTTCGACGCCAGCAGCTGCCACGACACAGGCTGGCGCAAGTGCTGGAGGTCTCTTTGGCGGCGCGAAGCCTGCTGCACCCTCAGCATCTACTCCCACCACCGCAGCGGCACCCTCGTCACTGTTTGGTGGTGCGGCCGCGGCTACACCTGCGAGCAAGCCTGCGAGCGGAGGACTCTTTGGAGCTACACCTGCTGCCGGCACCTCTCAGCCAGCTTCTACCCCTGCGGCGACTGCGACTACCGCCGCTACAACCACATCAGCTGCCGCGCCCAGCACGACGGCAGCAGCTGGTGGTCTTTTCGGAGCTAAGCCAGCAGCTACCCCGGCAGCTGGAACATCAGCTCAGAATGGCACTACGCCCGCCACCACATCTGCCACAACTGGCAACTCAAATACCCTCGCTGCCTCCACCACTGGCCCCACATCCCAGCTTCCTCGCCTGAAGAACAAGTCCATGGACGACATCATTACACGGTGGGCCTCTGATTTGTCCAAGTACCAGAAGGACTTCAAGCACTACGCCAACCAGGTCGCCGACTGGGATCTGGGCCTGGTCGACAACGGCGAGAAGATTCAGAAGCTCTACCTCAACACCTTCGAGGCCGAGAAGGCGAGTCACGAGATTGAGCGCCAACTTCAAGCCGTCGAGAGCCAGCAGGATGAACTTGAGGACTGGCTGAACCGTTACGAGGCCGACGTCAAGGAGATGTTCTCCCGCCAGATGGGACAGGGCGAGACCCTTGCCGGACCCGACCAGGAGCGCGAGCGGACATACAAGCTTGCCGAGAAGCTCACACAGAACCTTGACGAGAAGAGTAGAGACCTGTCGAAGATGGTTAAGGAGATCAACGACATTTCTGGTACTCTTAGCAAGGGCACCAAGCCTGAGGATCCCGTAAGTGATATTGATTTTTTCCCACATGTTGCACCTGCAAAGCTAACCTTCTCATTCACAGTTGAGCCAGATTGTTCGCGTTCTCAATGGTCATCTCGGCCAGCTCCAGTGGATCGACTCTAACGCCGCCTCTCTGCAAGCCAAGGTCTCATCCGCGCAGAAGGCGAACAACAACCTGGGAAGCCAATACGGAGCGCCGGAGAACGACGCTGCAGAGAGCTTTTACCGATCTTACATGGGCCGGCGTTGATGAGGATCAGGACACACGACAAAGGGTCCGTGTAGAGTTTGGTTTTTTTTGCTAGGCAGCATAGGTTACGAGAGACAAAGGGCTAGGAAATGCAACAACGAAAGACAACTCAGAATCTCGGGGGGTTGGTTGTCATTAATCGCTCAATTTGAGGTGGTCCTTCTTGAACAGAAATGGGTCGCTTAGCAACAGTTGAGTTGGATGAATTCGGCACCGCAACGGTGGTAATGCATTGAGCAACACCAAGAGTACGTTGTACAGTAGCATAGAACTTGTGGGTGAATACCAGGTGTTTGTTTCTTGAATGGTTTACATGAGATTGAAAAGCCTCAAAATTCAGACGTTTGCTCGCGTTTACGCGCACCATCATCAGTCTCTGCTTTCCCTTTTCAGATTTAGTACATTTGTCCGGCTTCCCCTAAGCCAATCCTCTCCATTTGGTATTATCGCTTTGAAAAGACCTCCTCCATGAAGCGGGGAGGGAATTGCATCTTTATGATTTTGAATTTAGTTGTGCTCACCACCCTGGTTCTTGGTGATCTCGTCACTGTTTTGGGTGCTGTCGTTAGCAAATGTACAAAAGTCGACGTCATTGCACGCGGATGGGGCGGGTTTGGAAGGTAGAAAAGGTGGAAAAGGCGGAAAAGGTGGAAAGGCGTGGAAAGGTGGAAGGTGGTGGACGAACATGTGGTCAGACAGCTGCTGGAGGTGGGCCTGCTGCTCGCTGAGCTTCTTCTTGAGCTCGAGGAGCTTCTCCTTCTCGCGCTGGCGGATGGCGTAGTCCTCGTTGGCCTTTTCGCGCTTCTGGAAGGCGTCACTGTGATGGGCAAATTGTCAGCTTTTGTACCCGTTTCCATTCTTTGGATCTGTTCGCTGTCGATTGCAGCCTCGCTTTTCACACTGTCGATAATGACAATGGTACGTGGGAACGACTGTGTTTGTGCGGAAGGGGGCTCCGCGAGAGAGAGAGAGAGAGAAAGAGGAGCGAAGACTTACCCGCCTCCGTACTTGGAGGGAGCTCCAGTGTCGCCCTCGCTCATGGTGCGAGCAGTGGTGCTGAAGCAAGCTCTCGAGGCGAGAGTGAGGGGACGGGCCGCGGCCTTGGTAGCAGCGATGCGCATCATTTTGAAAGAAGTATCTAGAGGGTGTTCGAGGGGTTTTGGGGATTCCAATTGGAGGTGTTTATGTTTTTGTAGTGAAGCAAGTTGGCCGATGACGATGGTGCAAGTCGAACGGGTTTTGTGATAGGTTGGATTGTGGGGATCTGGGTGCTGGTAATGCCTGGAATAGCTCCTGCTCGGGGAAGGGGGGCTACGGTGCTATGCTGCTTGAGAGCTTATTGGACGAGGAGGGGATGATCTGATCCTGTCAAACTACGGAGTACCTGGTCACTTTTCTTGGTCGGGGAGGGAGCTTTTGCTTACTCCGGCCTGTCCTTCTTCACCCGACTATGGGGGTACGAGGATGTGATACGTCATACCCGGCGTGAGCGAAGTATCTCGTTAACATGGTCGTGCCGGCATTTCTCGGCTTCGATGTTTGGTTCACTGAACCGGAGAGCTGCGCTGAGGTTGCCTGAGTGTGCTTTCCTCAGGCCACTGAGTGTTGGTCACCTGCTTGTGGCCAAATCGTGCTGACTCAATGTGCTTGCTGTACGCAGTATTCAAGATGGGCCAAGCAGTCGATGGAGCTTTGATGCAATTCCGAGCATCCGCATAATTCCGTCCTGACCAACACGCAACATAATATGTTGCTCCCATGATCCGGGCTCCGTTTAGATATGCCAGACGATATCCTTTTCCTGGTACAGAATTGCAAGAACCTCTGAGCTCCTACCAAGGGTTGCAAATTAGGTGCGTGGTGTTTTGCCCGGTCTGCCGGTGTTGTTGCTCCGAGACGGCTTATGCATAAAATGGGACTCGCATATCTCCATTCCGATGATTCTCGTAGGTCCAGTATTCCACAGTGGGTTGCATTCTCCAGATATCCGTAAGCCCGTAGGTACTCCGTAGGTCGCAGCCTTATCAGCCCTTGTTGTTATCTCCGGCAAGGCTGAATCTCCTTTTCCGACTGGGATGGTCCCCGGGACTGTGGAAGAGAAATGCGGGAGATCTGTCGCTTCAAAGGCGACCGATGGGGTGCCGGTGGTGTGTAGTCATTGTGGTGCGACGTCTTCCGTCTTTGTCTCGCAACCCGAGGCACCATTTTAGTGGAGAGGAGAACGTCTGCCCTCAACAGACCACAGAGAATCCATACGCCGCGTGTGTAAGTGTTGCTTTGGCCAAACCTGAGATGGCTTCATGGCTTCAGACTGCTAGAGAGGAAGAGGAAAGGATAGCCTCTTTCTTCCCGACTTTTCTGCCATCTTCTCTGCCAAGTCAGGCAACGGCAGCCGAGGAAACACACTTTCTTAGTTCAAGGGGTCCCGGCTACGAACAGCAGTATGCAACCTACATTGACGCGAAATAAGATGTTTTGCTTTCAAAGACCTTTGGGTCAGGCAAGTCAATCCAATGTGACCAAACGACGGAACAAGTGCCTGAACTCAAAGGATGAATGGGGGCACGGTGGCCGCTCGGCGATTGCATGAAAAGAAGAGACGAGGTGGGATGAGAGAAGACGGCAGGAGGAGTCTGGCCTCGCATCGACTTGCAGGATGTATGATTTGAAAGCAAGTACGCAGTATGCATATGATCCAGTAGATCAAAACTCTGAGTCTGGTAGTAGAGTTTGGCCATGGAAAGCGAAGCAACAACAAACAAGGTGACGTGATCTGGGTGTAGCAAGGTCGAAGTTGGACGAGTAAGTAAAGGTCAGCAACAACGAGCTGGTATATGAAGCTATGTTCCTGCAGGCCCTGGATCAAAACCAGGTTACTTGTGGCGTAGCATGTTCAACAGTGTATGCCTTGATCATATTTGTACCTGTATTCAAGGCCTTCCACAAGAAATGAGAGAGGAAGACCGCACTGAGCGAGGCCCGGTGCCCTGGGGAAAGAGCCTACCGGCGCCGGGGAATTGGACCCAAAGGAAGGAGCGGAAAGAGGCATGAGAATGTACCTCTGCGTACCCCCCACTCTCTGTCGCAGAGTCAGGTTGGTAACGTAAGGCAGGCACGGGGAGTCTGGAGAGTGCATTATGCGTACGTTTGGAAAGACTTTGGGGGCTCTGCCACTCTGGAGGGGTGCCTCTCTCAGCCGCAGAGCACAGCCGCAATACCTGACGCTACCCCGGGATGATTCACGTGAGCCGGCCATTCCAGGGCTAGCACGCCGCAGATGGGGATTGGTTGAGACGCCCCTCGACCGTGACTGGCCAGAGCGTGGCTCACCAGTCCAGTGTGTCCCTGCCCAGTGCCCATGGAACCTGGCAGGAAGTCAACCATTCAAGTCGGCTCCCGTCCAGTCCAGTCGGTGCGGCAGCAGCCACCCCACCCCCCTCCTGCCTACCTTACCTACCTTACGTCTACCTACCGCCCCAGCGTGTTTCCCCCCCAGTCAGTCCAGTCGCCTTGCCTTGTCTTGCCTGGGCCACCTCACGTATTGTGCAACCCAGAGCCCCTTCCTCAATTTCCATCCATCACCTTTTCGTCTCATCCATTTCTCAACTTCACAAAACTCTCGCACTACCTTTGCAAAACCGCCCACACCCGCCTCTATTTACCCTTCGTCACGCTCCCTTCCCCTGCTCCGATCCAATTCGAGTCTCGACACGGGAATCTTCCATTGACAACTTATCCATCGTTCCACTCGAACATCCCCGCCAACCTCAAAACATCGCACCAAGGTACGTGGTCCCCTCCCCCCATCCCCCCCGTGCCCCCTCTGTCGTCATCGCATCCCTCGCCGCAATCTCCTTCCACCGATTCCCAACAACCGCTTGTTACCGATTTGCGTCGACCGCTTCACGAAGCTGCCATCCGGCCCTCTTTCTGCATCGATTGAGAGCTTCACCGACACTGCGCGCCCTATCTTGATCGGTCAGGCGCAAAACCCCACCAGGAGCGGGGGGCCGAAGCCAAGTCATGAAGTCAGCGAGGCGCATACGCTGCAACTCGTCCTTCTCTCGTTGAATTCACCCCGTCGCTCTTGCGAATTCAATTTGCGCCTCTATTTGCCGACCAGTCCAAATTCCACATTCACAATACACTTGGAACGCAGTTTTGGCTTCATCTCCTGACACACGTGCTAACCAATCCCAACGTTCCAGATACCAACCGCCACAATGGGTCAGGATGATGCTGTGTACTTGGCCAAGCTTGCTGAGCAGGCTGAGCGCTACGAGGGTATGTGGTCGTCTCCCATCGAACACGATGGATTATACTGATGACTGGGCTTCCAGAGATGGTTGAGAACATGAAGATCGTCGCCTCCGAGGACCGTGACCTCACCGTCGAGGAGCGCAACCTCCTGTCCGTTGCCTACAAGAACGTCATCGGTGCCCGCCGTGCCTCGTGGAGAATTGTCACCTCCATCGAGCAGAAGGAGGAGTCCAAGGGCAACTCTTCCCAGGTCGGCCTTATCAAGGAGTACCGCCAGAAGATCGAGGCCGAGCTTGCCAAGATCTGCGACGACATTCTCGATGTCCTCGATGCCCACCTCATCCCTTCTGCCAAGTCTGGCGAGTCCAAGGTCTTCTACCACAAGATGTAAGGATTCGCGTCTATTACGGTGTTGGGACGATATGCTGACAACCTTTGTAGGAAGGGTGACTACCACCGCTACCTTGCCGAGTTCGCCGTTGGCGATCGCCGCAAGGACTCTGCCGACAAGTCCCTCGAGGCTTACAAGGCTGCCACCGAGGTTGCCCAGACCGAGCTCCCCCCTACTCACCCTATCCGCCTCGGTCTCGCCCTGAACTTTTCCGTCTTCTACTACGAGATCCTGAACGCCCCCGACCAGGCTTGCCACCTTGCCAAGCAGGCTTTCGATGATGCCATTGCCGGTCCGTATCGTCATCCTCGAGGCACTTGCAACCCACTAACGTCTCTACAGAGCTTGACACCCTTAGCGAGGAGTCTTACAAGGATTCTACCCTCATCATGCAGCTTCTCCGTGACAACCTGGTAAGTGACTCTGGCCAACTATGCAAAAGAAAAGACGCTGACAACGAACATAGACCCTCTGGACCTCTTCTGAGGCTGAGCCCGCGGCGTCAGGCACCGCCGAGGCCCCCGCCGCCGCCAAGGAGGAGGGTGCCTCCGCTGAGGCGCCGGCCGCTGCTGCCGCTGAGGAGCCCAAGGCTGAGTAAGGTGTGATTGGTCTTGTAGCATTCTGCAACCTGCGTTCATCGCCGGATTTGGGTGGACTGGTGTCTACGGAGTGTGGACTGGAGATTTCGTTTTTGCGAATCGGCATCGTTTAGGCAATACACAAGAATTGTGAAGGGGTTGATTTTTCCTAGCACGGGGCTGGCTGGGGGCTAAAGAAGAGCATTTTGGAGGTTGATTCCACGTTTGCTTTTTTAGACTCTAATGCAAGGCCGTCTGGACAACAACAAAAAAAGACTAAAATTGCTTTCAAAGAAGCACATCCGGCAAACCAGTTTGAAAAATCGTATGACACAGTCGCGTGGGACTGCCAGTAGTTTTGACCTGGTGATGGCGGATGTTGTCTAGAGTGTTCTACACCAGTACACTTGGGTCGACAAAGGTGAACTGGGTCGACGTCAATTCGCATGTAGACGGACAAATTTAAGAAGTCATTCTAGCATGGAAGACCAAGAGCCCGGTCATACAGGCTGAAGATTAGGTATGAGACTATCGAACGACTTGGGGTGCAAGTCAGACTTATGGGCTTGGCTAGAAATACGATTGCCAAAGAAAGAAACGCTGGAGATTGGGGGCGGTGTGTTTTTGAGAAAAGGATCTTGAACGCTTAATATACGCGATAGGAAGATAACGGCCACGGATTTGAGAATGGCTGAGAAGAAGGTACTCATCATGTGGAAGCGAGACATTTTGGCACGAGGGCGGCACGCATCGTAAAGTTTATCTTGGGGATCGATTCGGTCGACACTTATACACTTTCACACATATGAGTGAATGAGACGAGAAGATGGACATGACCTCATTACAATAGGTTGGTAATCACGGCGTCTTTTCAAATTTGTTTCGTGTTTTCCATTTTATCTTCGTCTGAAGACACATCCTTCCCAATTATTTCCATCAGTCATCCGAGACTACAGCAAAATGTACCTTCATCCAAAGACTACAATCCTGACAACCGACGAGCAGCTCCCCGTTCTCACCGGCCTCTTCCAGGTCCGCCTCCGTGAAGAAGAAACCGCGCGGATTGCCGCACCGGCAGCTGCGGTACCAAGAGCACTCGGCCTCGGGATCGTCTGATGGAGGCTCCTCGACTTCCAGGTCGTCAAGATCGACGATCTCGATGCCTGTCTGAAAAGCCTTCTCCTCGTCGCCATCGCCGCGCTGGAGACCTTGATTATTTGGTGCCAGGTCCAGAGCGCGGTCGTATTCTGCCCTCTGCTTGGGGTCCGAGAGGACCTTATAGGCTGATGAGATTTGGTCGATTGAGAACGTGGCGGCAGTAGCAGAAGAAGAGGGTGCTCGGATGGTTGTACTGGTTGAAGGAGTATTCTTGAGTTGTGGGTATTTGTCCGGGTGGTTTTGGAGGAGAGCGCGGTGGTAGGCCCGTTTGATGATTTGCTGCGGCCCCGCTGTGGTTGACTGTTCCTGGACGAGTTTGCGACTTATACCCAGAATCGTGTAGTGCGTGTGCCCTTGTCCCGGAGCCGCGGATGAAGAAGTCATTTTGGGCCAAGAGGGTGAGTAGGAAAAACGGCAGCGGCGGCGGCGGACAGGGCCGCTTGGATTACGGACTGTCGTTTTATCGTAAGTGAAAATTTCCCTGGCGAATTGGAGTTTTTTGGGAAGCTTGTTTCTGCGGGGATCACGTGAGTGGTTTGTGGTTGAAGTGTCGACTCGAAAATGAACCTCCTAGATGGCTTTTGAAGACGTGACCAACAGCTGGTCTTTTCAAGTCAAGTTCTCCTAGTGATTCTCGTCAATATGCACCAGTTTCTGAGCTTGTGGTGGAGGCGACAATTTTTTGCTCTTGTTGCCCGGACGTGGGGAAACCCCCAAATGGGGTTCAAGACGGCGGGAGTTGATTGAAGTTCGTTTCTTATACATGATAATACATGGTATATGTACATCGTCTATGGTATTGACGCAACGCAAGTGAAAAGTGCGAATAAAGCGCTTATTTGGGGAATCTTGTCCAGTTCTTCTTTCCAACCTAGTGCAAGTTTGTCAGTATACTATTTCCAGACAAGCATCCGATGAGATTATGAATGCTTACCTTCTTCCACTCCTTGATGAGCTTCGGCATCGCCAACACAGCCGCTCTCCTCTTCTCCATTCTGCAGATGCATGATTAGCATTTCTTTCTGGCTTGACCAACAATCCAAAAGCCTATAGAGGTTTCCTCGACTGCGAATGTAGGATGTAAAGACATACCTGGGCTGCACCATCCTCTCGTGAATCTTTCCCTTGACTTTTTGCCCAACACCGGTACCCTTCACCCTCAATCCGTGTTCGACGCGGTGCGCAATCCTGTACTCGGTGCCCTTGACCGTCGGGGGCAGCAGTTCCTCGACGCCGTGCTGGCGCGCGAGCTTGACGATCTCGGCCTGGCGGCGCATGGAGTAGACGGGGTCGTGCCACTTGCCCGTGACGGCGTGCTTCTGCGACTTGAAGGGGTTCGGGGTAATCTCCTGGAAACCCGTCTTGGGCGTCGCCGCGTTGTGAGGCAGAATGGCGGCGGGCGGCCAGCGGGCGAAGAAGCGCTGGAGCTGTGCCGGCAGCGTCTTTGCCAGCTGGATGTATTGCTCGGCGGCGGCCATTGTGTGTGGATGGATTCGGGATGCTCGAGGGGAGTATCTGTCTTCTTTATGTCCTCTGGTGCAAGCGCTGTGGCATTGCCAGGTCGTTGTCGTGAACGGGAGTGGAGGGTTTCGTCGGGCGATTTCTCTTCGTCAGTTTCCGTTCGGAGATGCTCTCACAATCGATTCGCTGGACAAATTTGGGAGAGACCAGCCTTATCCACCCCTGTACGTGCATACGACTGACAGGGGTGAGAGCTCAGAGCTTGGGAAAGAATTGCCGGAGCCTCTGCGATTTGATTGGGTCGCATTTGTGTGGCGCCTTCTGACTTGTGGCGCAAATCGCAGCCTTCTCTCAAGGTATCTGAAATAAACCATCCATCTTCAACTTCTGAAATACACAGTCACCAGGCCCCAACTCAACTTGCAAGCGGATGACGGTTTTGCGAGGGACTGCTTCCATTACCCTCCTTTGTTGCATCCACAACGGATAGTGAAACTGGGGACCTTGTCGCATCAAGGGGTTTCCACCATTCTCGGCACCTACTCAACACGCTCTACCACAACGAAGATCTCCGAACCCAGCAAGCTCTCTCACATCCTTCCCTCACAGCACCACACACAACCTGAAAATGAGCACCAACCAAGCGAAGAAGGTCCCTTTGGACCTCGAAGAGATTCTCAAAAAGAAGAAGGCCGCCGATGCTGCATCATCGAAGCTACGATTCATCCCAAAGAAGGAACGAGAGCGCCAGGCAGCAGAGAAGGCCAAACAGGAGGAGGAAGAGCGCAAGCGTAAAGCCGAGGAGGATGCGAAAAAGAAGGCAGAACTCGAGAGAAAATGGGCTTCCGAAGCAAATGGCACGGGCGATAACAGAACGCAGAATGGATATGGCAGCAGAGTTCCTACTGGTCCCAAGGCCATGAACGGCACGGAAAACGGCAGAGACGGTCGAGGTGCCGGAGGCCGCGGGCGGGATAAGCCAGAACGAAAGACGACAACGAAGGACGGCAAGGAGAAGAAGACTGCAGAAGCTATCGAGGCCGACCTGCTGCGCAACCGGTATCTCGGACCGGAGGTGAACAAACAGTCCAACTTCTCGGTGAAGAAGAAGCGCAAGAGGGCAACGGAGTTCAAGTTCGAATGGGACGCGGAAGAAGATACCACGCTCGAAAACGATCCAATGTACGAGTCCAACTCGACAACCCTGAAATCCTACACATTCGGCAGTCTATCTGGCGAGTACACTGAAGAAGCCGAAGAGATTGCGAGAAGAAGGGCAAGGATGATCGAGGAGAGAGATCGCGAATTTGGAAAGCAACGGGCAAAGGAGTTCATGGAGGACTTCTACAAAGCACGAGAGAAGGCAAAGGAGCGCGCAGATCGGTCGGGCCTGGGCAAGCACTGGTCGAAAAAGACACTCGAGGATATGCGGGAACGCGACTGGAGAATTTTCAAGGAAGACTTTGGCATTGCGACAAAGGGTGGCCTCATCCCCAACCCGATGCGCAGCTGGAAAGAGTCAGGATTGCCGCGAAGGCTACTGGAGATCGTTGACAGAGTGGGCTATAAGGACCCTTCGCCCATTCAGAGAGCAGCCATTCCTATCGCGATGCAGGCTCGAGATCTCATCGGTGTGGCTGTCACTGGTTCGGGTAAAACTGCGGCGTTTCTTCTGCCGTTACTGGTCTACATCTCGGATCTACCGCCTTTAACGGAAATCAACAAAAACGACGGAGCGTACGCCTTGATCCTGGCGCCTACGCGTGAATTGGTCCAGCAGATTGAGACGGAAGCGCACAAATTCGCCGATCCGCTTGGCTTCAACGTAGTCAGCATCGTGGGTGGTCACTCCATGGAGGAACAGGTGCATGCGTTGGGCAAAGGTGCCGAGATTATTGTCGCGACTCCCGGTCGTCTGGTTGATTGCATCGAAAGACGCGTCCTTGTCCTGTCTCAATGTTGCTACGTCATCATGGATGAAGCAGATCGGATGATTGATCTCGGTTTCGAGGAGTCAGTGAACAAGATTCTCGATGCCCTGCCGGTGACCAACGAGAAGCCCGACACGGACGATGCGGAAAACGCGACCTTGATGAAGAGCTATCTCGGTGCCAGGGACAGGTACAGACAGACGATGATGTACACGGCCACCATGCCGCCGACTGTCGAAAAGATTGCGAGAAAGTATCTGCGGCGCCCGGCCATCGTCACGATCGGTAATGCTGGCGAGGCCGTCGATACTGTCGAGCAACGGGTCGAGATGGTGTCCGGCGAGGACAAGAAAAAGAAGCGGCTGCAGGAGATCCTTGCCGCTGGAGAATTTGCCCCGCCCATCATCGTATTCGTCAACATCAAGCGCAATTGCGACGCTGTTGCGCGAGACGTCAAGCAGATGGGCTACTCCGCAGTCACGCTACACGGAAGCAAGACGCAGGAGCAGAGAGAGGCGGCGCTGGCATCGGTTCGCAATGGGCAGACGCAGGTTCTCGTGGCGACAGATTTGGCAGGAAGAGGTATCGACGTGCCCGACGTCAGTCTCGTCATCAACTTCAACATGGCGACCAGCATCGAGAGCTACACGCATCGCATCGGTCGTACGGGTCGCGCGGGCAAGAGTGGTGTTGCCATTACATTCTTGGGCAACGAGGATGCGGACCTATTCTACGACTTGAAGCAGATGCTCTCCAAGAGCTCCATCTCGCGTGTGCCCGAGGAGCTTCGGCGGCACGAGGCCGCGCAGCAGAAACCCACACGAGGGCACAAGAGGGCCGGTGGAGAGGAGCAGCAGTCGTCAGGCAAGGGGGGTCCAGTGGGGCGCCTAATGTAGGGTAATGGGTGACGGTAGCATGGCGAGTGGGTGAGGAAAGAGACTGAATAGATGAAAGTGGACTAGGTCCGGCCTCATAGATTATCGTGATAATCTGATCTGATAAAAATTTTATGTCCGAGCCATTATCGTCGGCGCCTCGGTTCTGTTAGCGTCTCTACTTTTGTGCCGTCTCTGCTGTCGCCCCTCCACACCGTCCCATGTTGTTATTTTTTGGACAAAATTGTGTCTGATCATTGTGGGTGTTCATGTACGTCCCGAGACCTTATTTGATCCCCAAAACTCATGTTTGTCGTTGGATCTCTGTTCCAACAGATTGGTCACCTCAAGTACCTTTTGGCCTACCTATTGAGACTCGACGTCTACTGTGTATGATCCTGGTTCCTGCCCAGATGGCGGGGCTGGCTCCTTGCTGTGCCTGACACCGACAGCGGGGAAGGATTTCAGCACCCGCCCTCATCGGTTCGGGGTTTCCAAGAACTCACCCGACTGCCTAGCTCCCGCCGACCAGAACTGACAGGGCACTTCAGAGTTAACCCCACCGAGAAGAGCACTTTTACGCAATGTTCCTCCCTCGGTCTGATGTCAGGCCCCCTCAGGGATGTTCTAGGCTGGGAAGGTGCGCCTAGTGTCCCGCTGGAAGACGCAGAAGGCAGTGCCCGATGTAAAGAGCCAGGTAGGGTACCTTATTCAGACGCGGAAAAGGGAAAGAGAATAAGAGAATTTTCTGCAATCCGACCCAAGGTGACTTGGCTCAAGGTATAGCAGGTACATCCAAGTTGCCTCAATCATGGAAGATGGGAATGTACCTCCTCCCATGCTGACCTTGCCTTGCTGGTGCCGGCCCAAAACTCCACCAGCAACTTGCAATTCCGCGCTTCCTTCCTACCTGCGCGCCCGCCCTTCACCGTTTCTTTCACATGGTGGTTCTAGTATAAACCCCATGCCATGCGCCTCTTCAAGTCATGAGCTGGCCGTTTTGACAACCACGTTGTTAATTCCCTCTCTCTCTCTCCTCTTCTTAGCTCTGAGTCTCTGGGCTGCCTCCCTCCCGCACTCCCTCTCTCTCTTTCTCTCTAGCGCGCGGGCTTTTCAACGTTGCGAGAATTATTTCACCCAACGGGATCGACACTGACACAAACAAGCCCTTCGAATTGGTCGCAAGCTTGGTGCAAAGAATCCCCAACTTGGAAACTGACCTAAACCCTCCCCGGTATCGGTGGGTATTTTTCTGATCGAATACCACCCACCCCCGAAAAAAAAGTTCTCGGGCGTTGCGCGCTTGCTGGGTGACACACTCGTGGACACTGCCCGGCTACATTCGCTTTTGCCCCGCGGTACCCGTCCGTACTCCGTCTTCCTGTGCGGTCATCCCACCTCCCTGATTCAACTCAGCACGAGGGGGAGCAGTGAGGACAGTGCTGAATAGCCTTCTATTCAACCAGACGTCCTACACTTGCTCCTTTTTCTTGAGCACACTTGCTTCTTCTTTTGTTCTTTGGTGTACTTGGTGGTCTTGAAGTTTCACGGCCGCAATCCAAAAAAGGCTGTTGAGCTGCGCCGTATCCTGGCTGATACTTTTTCGACGAGCGACCAACTCGCGCAAACGCACAATAACCCCCTCCCCTCGTCACACCGACCTTTGAGGGCTAACTGGAGGGTGCTCGATCCTTCGTCCGACCTTACGCATACCTTGAACGACCTCCAAATAGCTCAGGCAGCTATTAGCTAGCCATCGCACCTCGCAATTACCATCACAATGGACTCGGCCGCAGTAGCGATGGAGATTCCCCACCATGACGCACCCGTGTCGCTGAAGAAGAGCCGTACCGCGGCTCTGGAGGCTATGGAGGACATTGTCTACGGATCAGTGAGTTGCCCGCTTGCGAATGAAGCTGTGAGCGAATTTCGCTGACAAGCCAATTACTACCAGGTCGCCGGCGTTGTCGGAAAATACATCGAGTATCCCTTCGACACGGTCAAGGTCCGCCTCCAATCCCAACCCGACAACCAGCCTCTCCGCTACAAGGGCCCGATCGACTGTTTTCGCCAGTCCTTCCAGGCTGAGGGCTTCCGCGGCCTATACCGCGGTATCAGCGCACCGCTCGTCGGAGCCGCGCTCGAGAACAGCAGTCTGTTCTTCTTCGAACGGATCGGTCGCGCCGCCGTATACCAGTCGGGATGGACGCCCCAAGGCCAGGAGCTGTCACTCTCAGCCCTGTGGTTCACCGGTGCCTTCTCCGGCTTCTTCACTTCATACGTCCTGACGCCCGTCGAACTCGTCAAGTGCAAGATCCAGGCGCCTGCCGGCGCCGACGGCTCAGGGGCATCACAACAGCTGCGCCCGCTGTCTGTCGTCCGCGATATCTACCGCCACCAAGGCATCAGGGGCTTCTGGCATGGACAGATGGGTACTCTGATCCGCGAGTCGGGCGGCTGCGCTGCGTGGTTCGGCAGCAAGGAGACGGTTACAAAGATGTTCAACGTGCTCAACGCCAGGTCGGCCAAGACGCAAGGAGAGAGGGACGCCTTGGTTGGGAAGCCACTACCGCTGTGGCAACAGGCGCTGGCGGGCGCCTCGGGCGGTGTGTCATACAACTTCCTCTTCTTCCCAGCCGACACGATCAAGTCGCGCATGCAGACGGCAGCTATCGGCGACGCAGCGCTGAACCGATCATTCTGGCAGGAAGGCGCGGCCGTCTGGCGGCAACACGGCTTGAGGGGTCTGTACCGGGGCTGCGGCATTACGTGCCTTCGCTCGGCGCCCAGCTCGGCCTTTATTTTCATTGTTTTTGACGGCCTCAAGCGACATTTCCCTCTGCAGTAGAGGTCCTCTTTTTCCCTTTACACGTATCGAAACCCTTTTGAGATATCCCTAGACTTGGGTGGTTGTGGCTGCTGTTGTGGTTGGAAGACGGAGAGGTGGCTTTATACAATTTGGCATTTAGAAGGCGTAAAGGGGGATACGATTCCGGAAACAGTATATATACCTATACATGTGCATACACTTTGGGCGGCATTGGCCCGGCTAGATGGAGGTGGGTTCTTACCAAAAGTTGAGAAGAGACGCAAGCGTAGATTATTGAGTCTTTTATATACAACCTTGAATCAAAGGCTGCACCGTTTGATATGTTGCCGTCTTTCGTCCGAGGCTTGCTCTTTGAGGACCACTCTTACTAGCTTAGCCAAGGTACTGCGCATTCTTTGCGACTTGTTCGCTGTGATGGTCAAAGTAACGTAAGGTCAAGGGACTCAGTGTGCTTTATTCGACAGATGCTGAGACCCACTTCGACCAGTCCTACCTACTCAATATTCTCGACAGTTTCCATACTGCTATGTACGACCTGTGACAACTGTATGCCTTTCATTCATAACAAGCCATTCAGGCATTGCCTGCCCGTTGAACAGTTTTCAATTTACACGATGAGCACATGTTTCATAAAGATGGATATCGAATTTTTTTCCTAGTAAACGCTCAACGTAAGGAACAGGCCAGCCAATACCAACTAGAACGCCATGGCACGCAGATACGCCCACCAAGTCCACTCTTCCTCGTCATCTTCCTTCTCTAGACCATTGCACGAGTCACAAACGCCCGCACGGCAGCGGTAACAATCACAACACTACTGCTTCTTCCCAGCCTTGGCGGCCTGTTCGGCCTCGTACCGCGCCTCGGCACCCTTGAGGTCCCAGTCGTTGAGGTAGCCCGCTCCCGCGCAGAGGTAGGTCGCGAAGGAGAGCCAGCCGAGGTAGGGGACGAGGCAGGCGCCGGCGACGGCGTCGACGGAGCCCCAGAGGTAGGCGAGGTAGGAGTTTATGCCGAGGAGGGCGAGGATGTCGACGGTGGCGGCGACGGGGCGCTTGAGGAGGAAGAAGAGGGGCATCCAGATGAGGTTGAGGCCGAGCTGGATCGTGTAGAGGGTGGCGCCGTGTTTTGTGTCGGCGATTTGGGAGAGGGTGGAGGTCGGGGAGAGGCCTGTGTGGAAGGCGCGGTAGGCGGAGTAGCCCATTAGTCTGAAGGGGAGTCGTTAGATATCAGAGAACAGCGTCATATCGTGTTGGTGAAGTGTTTTGGGAGAGAGAAAGTTAAGCTTACCCGTAGAGGAGAGTCCATGCCGGACCAAACACCCACGCGGGAGGGCGGCCGGGAGGGTTCTTGATGGCGGCATAGGTCTTCTTAGTATCCTTGGCTACATGAACTTCATTAGTATTGCTATTTTATGAGGGTGTGATGTATCTTCAAGGGGACCATACGCCGCGAAGAGAAGCCGACGGCCGTGCCGAGAGCTATGGGGAGCAGGATCGAGGCGGCAGCATTCTCGAAGACCTGGTGGGGTAAGGTCAGGGCCGGGATGAAGGTTGTCATTGTGGCCGATTTCAGTTATGTAGTCGGTGGGAAATTGACTAGAATTATGAGACAGCTATTAGACGCGATAATTGCGAGTGGTGTGTTTATAAGTAAATGCAACGGTTCGTCTGGAACATGCGATGCGGGTGGTGAGAAGCAACCTCGGGGCGGGTCCCAGTCCGACATGCGAGGAAGCTATCCTCTTACAGGAGAGCTATGACGCAATGTAGAGAAAGTCTCCTGTCAGGAACCACCTCAATCTGGCGACTTCTACTTTGAAATTTCAATGTTGACGAACGGGAAAGCGCAATACTTAGACGTAGGAACTTACGAATCAAAAGTTGCATGTGGTGCTTGTCAATTCTTGAAATACCATTGGGTCAAAACCGTGAAAATTGTCACGTTGTCTGTCCGCCCATTTTATCTCAGCTGAGGTGGCACTTTGGCAGATGGGGACCCCCGTTCCTCAGATGGACATGCTTCTGCCGCTACAGGGGTGAAGCTCTGGAGATCGCTGGGGATCGGCCGCCGTTGTTCTGCAGCTCTCCAGCAATTGAATTCCACTGGACATTGACCCGCCTGTCACGGCTGGGGGCAGCTGCGACGGCATTTGCAGCTCTTGAGGAAGGCACTGACTACTGCGCTTGCCAGTACCCGGAGCGCATTGTGTAGAGAAGGCATATTCAATTCAAAAAGACTTTTTTTTGGACTTGATTGACTGTAGCATCTTCTCCATCATAAGGTACTCCCTTTATAGAAAAGGTGCAGATCAGTCAACGACTCGTATCTGGCAAGCACATATGCGAAAACGAAGATGTATGCAGTTAAGAGTGCCGACGCTGCCGAAGATCCTCCGAAAGAAACACTAAGCCCGTTTCGCTCAAGGTGGACCTCTCCAGCCGACCCTTTGTTCGTGTCTCGCTCCCATCGTCTCGTCGCCCTTTGAGTACGGAATCGGGTCAGCCTTCCCATCTTCAATCTCTCCTTCGTGCATCCCAAAACCCTCCATCTTTTGGATCACGACAACATCACGCGTCTTATCGTTGAGGCATACGCCCTCGCCATCGGAATAGTTCGTTCTTCCCTTTCTTTCTGCATTATCTTTACTCATCCGCAACCTATTGTCCATCCATCACCTCAATTCAATCCCCATTATTCCTGTCTACCCTCTCCCAGACCATCCATTCTTACTCCCGCCCAACTGCCTGTTCAACCATCCTCGTTTGTCAATCATTCTCAGCAGGCCTCATTTTGGCATACCGTCTTTCTTCTTCTTCCGTTTGCACCGTCATCGTTAGATTGACGAGTCGGTTTTCAACTCATCTTTGCCCTCTGGCAGCTGCACCACTTTTTACTGCTACTTCCGTCCCGAATTCTCAATTCTTTCTCTATCTCTTCTTTCGTTTCCCTCAGAAGCCGTCCCGTATCCCGCCTGCAGAATGATTTCTCTAACCGCAATCATGTTGCCAATCAACAGGCTTCCTCCTTCTTCCTTCCTTCGATCGAGCAAGCGAAACGAAATCATATGAGCAGCAACCACGCAGCTACCCGACGCCGACGCGATACTTAATCTGGCTGAAGAGGTCAATTGAACTCAACAAAGACGCCGTTCACCGTCCCACCCACTAGACTCAGCGTGACATATCCACGATGGACTCCTACTCTTCACACCGAGACTCCGCGCGCTCGCCGGGCGACAGGACGTGGAGCAGTCGCGACGACACGCGAGTCAAGGAAGAGCGAGCTGACACATTCTACCGTGGTAGATCGCCTGGTGCGTAGATCTCTGTTAATCCCATCCAATGGCTCCGGTTGTTCCTTGTCGAGGCCTCTCCCACGATACTGAGCTTTGTACTTGCAAGGATACACTGGTCAATCACTTACAAATCTTTCAGGCCATGAACGTCAGCACCGTGACAGACGGCGTTCACGATCCCCAACTGCTATCGATCGATATGAGCCAAGGGGTCGCGGTCGCGACGACTACGCTGGTGGCAGAGATCGCGATGATCGCCGGGAGAGGAGAATCCAGTCACCGCCAGCCAACATTGATCGCTACGTCCCTGGACAGGACAGCAGCGCCTCTGCGCCGATGACCGTCAACCCCCTTGCGGATCCCGTCAAGCTCCCATACCAAGTCGGCTTCTCATACTTTGGCGAATGGTGGAGGATGAATGAAAAGATCAAGGAGGAGAAGGAACGCCAACGCACTGGTCGTCGCCGTGAACCAGAACGTGCCCGAGGCACACGTGAAGCCCAAGAAGAGCGCGAAAAGGAGAAGGCCAAGATTCAGGTCGCGTATGACGCCTACAAGGAAGAACTTCAAGCAAAGATGGCTCGCACTTTCGTTGGCGAGCACAAGAAGGAGCAGTGGTTCCGCGAGCGATACGTCCCTGAAATTCGTGACGGTTTCAGAGCCCAGCTTAATGAATTCCGCCGTGGCGCTTACAGCCAATGGGAGCAAGATCTCGAGTCCGGAACCTTTGACGAGTTCTCCCTGGAGGGAATTCCCAAGAGCGAGACTAATGGCCTTGGAGGCCTCGTAGAGAAGGAGGAAGGTGAAGCAACCGCCGCCAACGAGATCCTGGGCGTGGGAGACCTTGTGCCAGCCAATGGCGGTGACATCAGAGACGAGAACCTGTACCAGCCCACCCTTCTCATCAAGACCATTGCGCCCCATGTCAGCAGACAAAACCTCGAGACTTTTTGCAAGGAGCATCTCGGCGAAGAAGAGGGCGGCTTCAAGTGGCTTTCTCTGTCAGATCCCAACCCCAGCAAGCGGTATCATCGTATTGGTTGGGTTATGCTTCACCCTTCATCAGAAGTTGCCCCTGCAGTTGTTGACCGTGTCGACCCCAAGGATGAGGATGGCGATATGCCTTTGAAGTCGCCTGCAGTCGTATCGACTGCTGAGAAGGCCCTCGACGCTGTCAACGGCAAGACTGTCAAGGACGAAGTCAGGGGCGATTTCGTCTGCCACGTCGGTGTGCACAATCCTCCCAGTCACCCTAGAAAGAAGGCTCTCTGGGATCTCTTCTCTGCACCCGAGCGAGTTGAGAAGGACTTGGGCCTGGTTCAGCGACTCGTCAACAAGTTTGAGGAAGACTTCGGCTCTGACTTCAACGCCGTCTTGAAGATTGAGGAACGTGTCGACGATCTTAAGAACGGCGGCCGCCTTCAGCCCGCAGTCACTGCACCCAAGAAGAAAGCCAAGAAGGAGCGTGATCTCGACGTCGATGACGGCATGGAAGACGGAGAGGATGGTGCCATTGATGATGACGAGGACGAGGGTGCTGTCGAGGAGGACGACGTTGACGACGAAGACCTCTTGGTCAAGAAGAAGCAGCTGGATCTCATGATTGAGTATCTCAGACGCGTCTATAACTTCTGCTTCTTCTGTGTCTTTGAGAGCGATTCAATCCACGAGCTCACTCGCAAGTGCCCCGGTGGTCACCTGCGTCGCCCAAGGACCACCCTTAGCACTTCCGCCAAGGCCGTTGCGCGCGCTAGTGCCAATGGGGAGCCATTCCCTGGCAAGAAGCGCAGCGAGATCGAGGAGGAAGGCGAAGCGACTGAGGACAAGAAGTTCCGCGGTACTACCGGCAAGGCAGAACAACAGCTGCTTCGTGCCTACAACTGGGTCAAGACCTTCGAGGACAAGATTATGCAAATTCTTGAACCCGAAACGGCAGACCTGCGCAAGCTTGGAGGCCGCCCCGTTGAGGATGCCGTCAGTGACGAGCTGCTGAAATACGTCAAGCAGGAGGACGAGCACAAATGGAGATGCAAGGTTCCCGAGTGTGCCAAGTTGTTCAAGGAAGAGCATTTCTGGCGCAAGCACGTCGAGAAGCGCCACAACGAATGGCTCGAGACCATTGAGCAAGAGGCAAGTCACCTTCCCCAGCTACTTTACGTCAGCTGCTAATCAATTCTACAGTTCCACCTTATCAATGCCTATGTCATGGACCCATCTCACATTGCTCCATCAAGGACTGATGCTAATTCCAACGGTCACTTCCCTCCGGCTAATGGCTCTTCTGCAACTGGAACCCCTCGTGGATTCAACCTGCAGAACTTCACTATGAATGGCATGATGCCCATCCCTGGATTCCCCATGCCACCCGGCGGGTTCCCGCCGTTCGTCGGTGGCGGACATCCCAGTATGCAGTCCGGCTGGAACGCTGGCGGCGATGACCGCGGAGGCTCTGGCCCCATTCGCCGCGGAGGTATGAGTGGTAGCCGTGGAAACTACCGAAGCGGTCCCTATGACCGACGCCCGAATCCCCGTTGGGACGGTGGTATGAGGGGAGGAGGCCGTGGTGGCGCTGGCAAGTGGGGAGACGGTGCTGCCGGCGGTGGAGCGGCTGTCGGCCCACGGGAGGCCACTCAGGGACGTAGTCTCAAGAGCTACGAGGATCTCGACCATGTCGCTGGCGGCGGCGGCGGAGAGCTGAATTATTAGGACAAGAACTACTCCCATCGCTTGGAACGTCGCAAAACAGTGGTCAAGGAGGGATAGAACCATTGGGTGTTTTTGAGAAATTTTTGACTCGTGCGAATCGTCACGGGCGCCGAGAATGACGCTCTACCGGGGGCATGCTTCTTACAACATGGGCATTGCATAATCATCGGGCACATCAAGTTGTACTTTGTAAAATAACAAAAACTTCGGGGTTAGGTTGGGATCGCGAATGAAAACGGCTTTTAATCATTTGACTTGGATCATCGGACAAACAAAGTCTTGTCACTATCCCCTATACCGAGCAATGCTGATTCAAATGCCCTCTCGTGTCCTTTGTGATAGATTGTGCCGTCTATGCTGATAAGCAGAAGTATAGTAAAGAGTCTACGCACAACTTATCTCCACAACCAAGGCTATTCTTCATCTCCTTTTACTTGTTGCTGGCGATGTCTTGTTGCCTCTGATTGACAAAAGCCCCTTTCAATGAGGGCTTGGTATTTGAGGATGTAGTTTCGCCATCTGCTTCGGGCGCAGCAATAGCTTGAGACTTACTCAACTTTGCTAGCACTGGATATCTGTTGCTGTGAGACTGTGCAGGGCAATTCTCATATAGGTCTGGATAGTCAAGAGATCTAGACGCCGTGTTGTCATCACTCTCTTTCACAGATTACTTCACTTCCACGGTTGGATATCAATGCGACCAGCTGAAACAATGCCGTTCCGATATGACGCTTTCTTGAGTCTCATAGCCGGATCACGGCTCTTCTCTCATTAGGTGAAGACTTGAACTGAATCTCGATTCTTCACATGAGACCTGGTGTCTCGTTCTTACTGTTCGTGTCTGTCTACCTGTTTGATACCGGGACAATGAACGCTGCCGACTTTGACAACCATGTTTGCTGCTAGGTACTTGTCTGCAAGCTAAAGAGTGGAGATGAGCTTTCACCCTCAGTAGCTAGAACTCGTTGTAGGATTCTTCCCTCAACATAAGATCTAGTGTTTAGCTATAGTAAGAAATACTGTCTTCATATCTACTTGGTAACAGCACCGTCACTTCCTTAGGCTGGTATAAGAACCATGACTTCTTTGTTTTCCATAGCTGAAAACTGAAAATTATAGTCACGTGTAGCCAGTTTCGCCTCTCGCTTCACGCTGGTGAACGTATTTGAATCCGAATACGTGGGGCGAAGCGAGCTGACTGTCTGGAGGATGATTGGTGCGATGAGAGAATGTGTTTAACATAAAGAATGAATATCACTAAGAAAGCACGTCGATATGAAGGCAGCAGCACCGCTCTCATATGCAGTTCGACCAGACCCAAACCCCGAGAACTATGTGCTTGAGGCGAGCGTTCTTAGCAGCAATGTATCAGGGGCCTTTATAGCTTCTCTAATCAGTAGCTCATCCCGCCAACCTTGTGTTCCGATTTTACCCTCGACTCCTGACTTACAAGACTACGAGACGAGCGCAGTAAAGGTAATATAGATTACAGATTTAAAGGATGGAGCACCCCTCGTTTCGAAGCCGCCGAGGCCATCCAGCTGAGTGGTTGATTCGTATGAACAAACCGGGACGCTGGTGTTTCTCAGGCAAATGGTTCGACTCCTACAACCCAGCTGTTCGATAGTCAAGTCGGCCTCTGACGACCTATCATCACAAGAGCACGCAACACATAAGGCATTCATGAAGCAGGTCCGAAGTCAAGTCTCACTGAACGCCGCGAACTTTTCTAACCTACATGGGTAACTTCATGATGCTCTCAACTCCTCACAGAAGCCTTCAGGGCCCCATCCAACCTTTCCAAGTCTGGGCTCACGCTCTCGTGGCTCTTGAGCGTCATGACTGCCGCCTTCTGCGCGACATCGATCAAGTCCTCCACCTTGCCCCCCTTTGACAGGCCAGCAATCAGAACTCCCAAGAACGTATCCCCAACACCATTGACAGACACAATCTCGTCGAGAGCGACCTTCTCAGCAGGCGGGAACAGGCGCATGTAGACGCCGCCGACGGTGGGATGATCAACGTATCCTCTCGTAAGCAGCCACCTCTCCTCGTTTCTGTCCTTGAGTCTGGGATCATTCTTGCCCAGGATCGTAGTCAGGAGAACACCCTTGGACCCCAGCTTTGTGACTAGGGTAGGGATGTACGGCAGGAGGTGAACCGTCTGCACGGGGATGCCCGCGTCAGTCATCTCCTTGGACGTAAGAGCCACGAAGCGGTCCCGCGCACCGCGCATGTTGAAGGCGTCAATGACCTCGAACCATTCGGGCGTATCAAAGAAGCCATTCTCCTTGGCGGCGCTATACATGGCGTTGAGCTCAAAGTTGTTGGGCGACGCAATGTCGATGCCGGGGCTGGGAAAGACGCCGAGGTGCGGGTGCTCCTTGGGGAAGAGACCAATGGACTTGGCCGTGGAGACGGGCTCAAAGGCGACCTTGCACCCTTGCTCGCGGCCGGCGTCGATCCACGCCCGGACGTCCTTGGGGCTCCAGTTGCCGTCGACGACGAGCCATGCCGGCTTGGCGCCGGCGACGGCGGACTTCCAGTAGTCTGGGAAGGAGTGGTTGGCAAAGATGCCCATGTCGGCCATGGCCATGACGAGGTTCTTTTCGGCATCGTTGACGGCGACGTACTGCGCCGTGCGGTTCGCGACGTGATACTCGGAGGTGAGCTGGCGGATGTAGGTTGTCTCGAGGCCTGAAGCTTTGAGAGAGGATAGGACGGTTGCGCCGGCGCTTTTCACTTTGTTAGGTGTGGAATTGTAGATATAAAGGGGGAGTGAGCTTACACATCGTCACCAATCAAGCTACACAGGCGTACCGTCGTGTCTTTGCTTACTCTGTGAGCTGCCAGAGCGACGTTGTGACCGACGCCGCCGATGGACTGGTTGATACAAGCAGGGTTCGAGGTTTGCATATGGGGCGCGACCTCCTTCTTGTCACCAAGGGGATGATAGTCGCAGCTCAGGTCAATCGCCACGGAGCCCGCCACAAGAACATCGGCCTTGCTGGACTTGGGTTCTTCCACTTTGACGGTAGCTTTAGGGGAAATGTCATAACCAGAAATATGTGTGCTCGAAGAACTATCTACGCAGTCAGAGTCCGAGCCCCCGGCTGAGCTATATACAACGAAATCCGAAAACTTACGATTTCGAAACTCCCTCGTTCAGCAGTTTCGAGAGCTCCACCGAGATCTTGGTAGCCCGCGCCACGTTGGACCTCACCAACGCCTTGTTGGCCAGCGTGCTCCGCTCCTCCGTCAGCTGCCTGATCCTGCCGAGGACGTAGGGCGTGTTCTTGGCGCCCGTGAAGCCCTTCTCAATGGCCTCCGTGACGGCCGTCTCGATGACGGCGTCCATCTCCGCGCGGGGGATGCCGTACTCCTCGGGGATCGGGTTGGCGAAGAGCATGCCGGACTCGATGCCCAGGCTCTCCTGCGCCAAGATCATCGCGGCGGCCTCGCGCTCGGTCTGGACGACCGCGGGGCTCTTTGTGCCGCTCTCGCGGGCCCAAAAGGCGGGGAAGTCGACGTTGCCGGTTCGGCCGTCGGCGAAAGTCGCGACGAAGGCGCCGTGCGTCTCGAGGAACTCGAGCGTGCGCGGGATGTCGAGGAAACCCTTGCAGCCTGAGCTCACGACGGCCACGCGCGTGCGGCCGAGCTCCGTGAGGTCTGCGGAGACGTCGAGGGAGTTCTCGCCGCCGCGGTGAACGCCGCCTAGGCCGCCGGTGCCGAAGACGCGGATGCCGGCGAGTCTTGAGAGCAGCATGGTCCCGGCAATGGTGGTGCCGCCATGGACCTTCTTTCCAGTGATTCCCTGGGATGTGTTAGAACCGAGGTATGGGACTTGTGCAGAAGACGTCTGTAAATGGACCAACATGAATGATAGCGCAATGCTATCTAGTGACTTACCAGTCCAACGAGGTGTGCAACATCTCTCCTCGACACCTTGCCCGCTGTGCCAGAATCCACCATGAAGGCAACCTCAGCTTCCGTCATTCCAACGATAGGTTCGCCATTCAGGATACCACACACAGCAGGAACACCGCCACCCTGACGGACGATGTCTTCCAGACCGAGATCGTTGCCCAGCGCACCGTGTGTGTAGATTGTAGACTCCAAAGCCACAACCGGCTTATTTGTGGCAACGGCATCGGCAACCTCTTCAGAAACACGCAGGAGATTCTTGAGTCCGCCTGATTGGTATGCGGCGGCGCTCATGTAACGACGTACTGCGTTGGCCCCAACAGTTTGGCGTGAGAGCTGCAGCTGCGAGAGAGCGTGTCTCGCCAAGTGGCAAGATGAGCGTGGGACAATCATGTTTGATAGACGACGGCGATGTGCCGTGCCCCTGGTTGCTTGGTTGTCTTGATGTGGATGATCTGATCAATGTTTTGCTCTTTGGATAACGAGACTAGCCGCCAAAGCTTGTCGTTTGAAGATACAAAAGTTTGAGAATGCTACTGAGAGCTAAACAAGACTCATTTGGGCTCGCTGGGTGCTCAACATATAAGATGAACGTCTAGCTTCTAAGAGTAGCGGAATACGGCGATATGAGAAGACGCCCTGCCAAGTACCCAGAGCCGAGGTGCACGCCCTCCGAAATACAGTGGTGCTTACCTTACTTACAAGGAAGGTCCAGACTGGAACCCCACCGCGCCACGCTACCTGTGGCTTAGCGCAGGTGAGTTTCGCGATCCCACGATACTTACTCTCACGACTCACCACCATGACAAAAACTTCACAAACACCACCCTTTCTTCACGAAAACTCATAAAATAATGAGCCTGGGCAAAAGAATACTCCTCGACGGGGAATTGAACCCCGGTCCCCTGCGAATCCGTTGATATTTCAATGACAAGCAGATATCATCACCACTAGACTATCGGGGATGTGAAAATGTTTTCATTCAGTGATAGTTGGTTGACGGGTGAGACCCGCTGAGGGTATATGAATGACCCATCTCTTAGCGCAAGAACAGACAAAGCCCTAGGCTTGGCAAAATAGTATACTGGCTGACATATACCTTAATCCCTTCTTATCGTTACTACCTACCTCTCTCATTGCCTCTCTCATTGCCTCTCTCATTGCCTCTTTTATAATCTCCTTTCTCGGCTTCTTGAGATATATTATCAATGGAATAAACAGGAAGTGAAGGATAATAATAGTCTCAGTAATAACAATAGCAATAAGAACAGAGCTAGAGTTATACTTAGGAATACCGATCTTTTATTTCTGTTAAATTAAGAAAAAAGACCTTCTCGACGGCGTCTTTGTCTTCGTCATTATAGAGGTCACAGCAAGTCATATACTATTACAAGACACTATCCTATCATTGAATTGTGGAATAGGATGAGGCACGAAACCCCTTTGCCTTCCCATAGCTTTCTGCTTCGCGGGATAAAACTGCCACGAACCCAGCTCAGTATATACACCATTACTACATGAACACAACAATCATCCTATAATGGCGCATACAGACACTGTCGACTGTGGGTTTATCACGGGCCCGGTCAACAAAGGCGATGGAAAAGAGTACGGCTGCCTCAGCCACGTTATCGACCTCTGTTCAATCATCGATAGGCACCTTGGTATGGAGTCTGATGGCTTCATCGTGCTTTGGTAGAAGCTACCCTTCCGAGGGTCGATTATAAAGAAGACACCGACAACGGCACCTCTAGCGATAAAGGCGAGCACCATGAAGAGGACGATGACGATTACGATGACGATGGCGATGACAAAGAGGACGACCGGAGCACAGAGGCCATGACTGATGACGGCAATAGTTTGTCAAGTCTTGCGTCAGGGGAAGATTATACGGCAGAGGAACTGGCCGACGCTCAGAACCAGCTTGGCGGCCAAAACATAGCCCTTTTGGCGCGTGAGCAAGACGACGATGACAACCAAGTCTTGTTGATGGAGGTCAGTGATGACGAGGATGGATCCGTTGATATGCTAGATGCAAGCTCGGTGGACTCGTTTGTAGAAGAGAACGAGGAGAAGGACGAGGCGGAAGTAGAGGATATCACGGTTTTGGAGAAAGTCTTCCTCGACATTGACGAAGGCTTTACGGCTTAGAAGCGTAAGCGCGAGGAGGATAGAGCGGCTAGGAACGAGAATAAGAAGGCGAGGCGCGTAAAGAAGAGAAAGCTGGCACAAGAGGCAGAGAATTAGCTTAAAGACAAGAAACAAAATGACTTCTCAAGATAAAAACTGCTAGCCAAGTGGGCAACATGATCGTTCACCGCTCTATAGTATTCCGGCACCTAACTTTTTATTCTTTCTCTTGAGAGTATTCTCTAATGAATAATTAGAAAATAAAAATAGTAAGAACAATAGAGATGATAAGAACGACAAAGTTAATAAGAGCTATGGGGATAGAAGAAATTTAAATGATAAAGATGACAGGATTAGAAAGTCAGAAATAATAAGTAGGCAAGTAGGCGTCACAGTCAATATTGACTAGCATTTTGTCTTGTCACCCACTTGCCAGTCTGAGTCTCGTTTGGAGGGGTTCTAGATGCCCCGCAATCGAGCCTTATCATCACTCAGATGCCATTGGTTGATCTGTTTGCTAGCGCCTGGAGCTCCACCAATTAAATCCTCCATTCACATGCAAGGCTGAAAGCTCCATTAAAAAAAATCTGGACGTCCTCTGCAAGTCGCCCGTCCATTCCCACCTCGATTCGCTGGTGCGCCCACTACCAAACGAGACAAGAAAATCACCACCGACCGGCGACAATGGCAAAAGAACAACCGTTTGAGCAATTCTCCGAGGAGGAAGAGGCCACCTCCTCCGAGGAGTCAGAACTCGAGGAGGAAGTCCCCCGCCAACGCAAACCGAAGCCCGTGTTCGACGAAAAGGATTCCGATGAAGAGGAGCTCGAGAAGCTGGTGCTGGGAGGCAAGGCCGATTTCCGCGAACAGCTCTTCCGCAACGATGTGCTCGGCGATATCGAACGACTCGAGAGAGAAAAGAACCTCCAGCTCACCAAGCCGGACGACGAGCCCACACTAGAGGAAGTCGCCGACCACGATCTCTTCTTCCTCGACACCGGAGTCCCCGCGGTAAAGGGCGGCGCAAAGGCGAGCGGCAAGCAAGAGGCAGCGGCCGTTGACGAGAATACACCGGAGTCCCCGCGGTAAAGGGCGGCGCAAAGGCGAGCGGCAAGCAAGAGGCAGCGGCCGTTGACGAGAATGCGCCCGCGTGGGAGGACAGCGATGACGAGCGATTGACCGTTTCCTTGGCGGCGGCGACGAGGTTACGAAAGCTGCGCATCACCGAGGCCGAGGACATGGTCAGCGGCGCAGAGTACAGCAGAAGACTGAGACAGCAGTTTGTCCGCCTCAACCCGCTGCCAAAGTGGGCGCAAGAGCCGTCGTCCGAGGGAAGGCCCGCAAAGAGGAGAAGACGCTCCTCGGCCGCCGCCTCCGACTCCTCCATCAGCTCCGACGAAGAAGGCAGCGATACAGACCTCTCCGCGGCGCCCCTCGAGAAGTTCATGCGCGACGTCCACCGCCTCGCCGGCAAAGGCGCCGCCAACGGCGGCAAAGCCCGCCTCCGGCCCGAGGTCATTGACATCCAGCGCACGCGCGAGATCCCCGACACCCACAAGGCAGCCGTCAACAACCTCTCCTTCCACCCGCGATACCCCGTCCTCCTCTCCTCGAGCGTCTCCTCCGTGCTTTACCTGCACCACCTCAACCCGACGGCGCACCCGACGCCGAACCCGATGCTCACCTCGGTGCAGGCCAAGGGCGTCGACGTCCGCCGCGCAGAGTTCCTCTACCCGTCGGGCGACCAAATCTTCTTCGCCGGCCGGCGCAAGTTCTTCCACAGCTGGGACCTGCAGACGGGCAACGTGCAAAAGACGTCGCAGATCCAGGGCCACAGGCTCGAGCACAAGACCATGGAGCGCTTCAAGCTCAGCCCCTGCGGGCGGTACATGGGTCTCGTGGCGTCGACGCGCAAGGGTGGCGGCATCATCAACATCATCAGCACCGAGTCGAGGCAGTGGATCGCCGCCGCCCGGCTGGACAGCCGGCACGGCATCGCCGATTTTGTGTGGTGGAGCAACGGCGAGGGCATGTCGATCCTCGGCAGGGATGGCTCCGTCGGCGAGTATAGCGTGGCCGAGAAGCGGTTCCTGGCCGTATGGCACGATGACGGCTGCGTAGGCGGCATCGTCATCGCGCTGGGTGGCCACCAGGGGCCTGAACTCCTCGGCGACGACAGGTGGGTCGCCGTCGGCTCCAGCAGTGGTATCACCAACATTTACGACCGCCACACGCTCGTCAAGACGTCGTCCAAGGCCGGCGAGGTCGATATCGAGCAGCGTCCCGAGCCGACGCGCACGTTTGAGCAGCTCGTCACGCCCATCACGGTGTTGACCTTCTCCCCCGACGGCCAGCTGATGGCATTCGGCAGCACAGAGTCCAAGGACGCGCTGCGCCTGGTTCATCTCCCCAGCTGCACCGTCTACAGGAACTGGCCCACGGAACAGACGCCCCTGGGCAGAATCACGAGCGTTGCGTTTGGGCGGAGCAGCGAGCTCCTTGCGGTTGGTAATGATACGGGCAAGATTAGAATGTGGGAGATTAGGAGTTAAGAAGGGTAACCCAAAAGAAAATTCGGTTGGCATGTTTGTGTATTGAGGTTTATCATCTGGCGTGAGGGCCTGTCTTAATTCCATCTTCCTGCATCAAAAACGGGCTGTCCTCTGTGCTCTCGCCATGTCGCCCTTTCACTCATCTCTCATTTCAGCATTAGAACCTCCCAGCATCAAAATCTCATCTTGCGCCGTAGGGAGCGGAGCGGATCGCCCTTGGGAAGCTCCTTGCTGGACATGAACATGCGGTTCTTCCGGCAATACCGTCCAAGCTGGGAGGGATTCTTGAAGAACTCGACCTCGCCGGGTCGGTTCTCGACACTGAGGAACTGCTTGATGCTGACGTGGACCGTCTTCAGGGCCTTTATTCATACGGAATTCACATTGTCAGCCGCCGATATATCACACAGTAGGATCTAAGGGTAACTCACCTTTCGGCATTGGGTCTTGGTCGGCAAGTCCGCTTCCAGACCCAGATCACCGCAGAGACGCTGCCAGTCGGCCAGCTCTCTCTTGCCAAAGTACTCCTTCCAGCGCGCGACGAGGTTCGTCTGAACCTTCGCCTGCTCCTTCTCGGTCAACTTCCTGTTCATCCTTGGCGCGCTGTTCTCGCCGTTCGCCTTCTTCTCCTCCTTGGGATCGACAATCTTGGGGTTCTGGAGGTCATCCAACGCCTCCTTCAGCTCAACACAATCCAAGATCGCATCATCGCCCTTCTGATCATGACCGTCGTGGTTTCTGCTGCCGCCGTCGGCATCCTCCTCCCTCTTGATGTTCAACTGGATCATCATCTCCTCAATGTCGTGAAGATCGGCGCCACCTTCTCCTCCATTGTTGCCATTCTTCTCACCCTCATCACCCTCCTCCTTTTTGATGGTGAGCTCGCCCATCATCTTCTCCACGTTCTGCAGCTTGGCGCCTCCTTCCTCAGCTGCGGCCTTCTCCCGGGCCTTGCGGGCGGCGCTCTTGGTTCTGCGAGTCATTGTCGGTGTGAAGGAAAATGACTGAAGGAGAGAAGTGAATAGCGGATGAGAGGTGAGATGTTCCTCAACTCAAAAGAGTATGAGAATGATGCATGAGCCGATGCCGATGTGACCGAATGCGGTTTCATGCGGGCGCTCCGTTTGACCGGGTTAAGAGGCGTTGGTTGAATGAGGGGGGGGATATGGTCGCACCAACCCGCCGCGGAAGGATGGCGATTGCAAAGGGTGGGAGAAAAAGGTGAAGTGAGAAACGAAGACTCACTCGATTGAGAAGCAGACGTTTATTTTCCCCCTCGTGTATTCAGGAGAATATTCAGAGCCATGAAATATTGCGTCTCAACTTTAGAACCTACCCTGAACGGCGCAGCATGAGATTGTCTCTGGTCGTAGCACAAACCTTGGTCCCGGTCACATTTAATTACAGCAAACTCAAACCAGATCCAGTGCAAGGCAAAGAAGACGAGCAGAGGAATCATATCAACCCGTGCGTTAAGAGATGTTCAAGTACTGATCGAGGACCATGGCGGATGGGATTGCCCATACAGCGTGGCCATGCAGAGCCGAGCCAGTTTGAATCGTCCAGTAAGGCGCTCGATGTATCTCATGCAAGACAAATTGATAAACATGCCAAGTTTAGAGCAGCCTCGGAAGAGACAAACAGTTCCCCGAGATAACCGTCTGCGCCTCTTTGCCTGCAAAGGGGTAAAGAAAGAGTAAGAAAATAAATTCCACAAAATTGTGTATGATACGATCACACTATTGCAGCACTGCTCTGAAACACTATCATTTAGAAATAAACCTGGAGACCCCGTGGTTATGGACTCCGAGATAACCGTTCAAGGTGCTCGAGGCAAGGCACTCGAGGTTTAGATCCCATGCAAGTTTGTTCGTTTATCTACCCTTGCCACCAGCCTCGAGTTTTGCCCCATTGCATTTCCAACTGTTGGTGAGTGACGGTATGGCGGGCGAGCGCTCAAGGGTGGTAAACTCAACTTTCAGGAGACAAACGGCTCAAGTTACACAGAAGTCTTGATAACAAGGTTGACCTGAATCAGAGCATTGTCACAGAGTACGCATATATACCAGATCTGTTACAAGCGAGCACATAGAATCAGTAGTTCATACCGGTTTCTAGATTTCGTGCTTTTAAATGCCTAATTCTAGTAATAGCGACGTAGACTTCGCTTTTGATCAGGCAAAACAGCCCGCCATGCATCGCTTGCGCGCCTGCGTTGAAACCCGCTGTATCAAAACAAAAGACCCCAAACGCCAATTCATGCCAACGACCGGATTTCTGCCCGGGTGGCCGCTGGACCTAGCCTCCGTGCCGCCGTCCAATTCCCCCAGGTCATCATATCATCATATTTTTTAGAATCCTCCTGTGACGTATATCCTTTTGTCAATCCCGGCAACCCGTTCAAAACGCAAAAGCGTTGCCCAGCCCCAAAACTCCTGCACCCCCGATTCCCCTGCTCTCGCTGTTGCGTCGACTATTGCCAGGCACAAGGACCATGCCCCTATCGTTCTCGAGCGTCAACAATACTTGCGATGGCCGTCGTTCCAACTTCCCCTGACTCTGGAGGGCTCTGATACCGACCAAAGCACCACGAAGACCAATGTCGAGACGACGCGGTTCCTGGAGGCCGAAGAACCCCGCAGTCGGTGATGAAAACTGACGCTTGTGACCGAATGATCCGCCGAAGGATGCGTAACTCGAGCTAGGACGGGCAAACAATGGCCGAGGAATTGACATCTTGCGCATGTGACCGAAGTAGCTATCGCTCGAGTCGTCAAAGTGGTATGATCTTCTCTGCGGCGACCAATGCGAGAGAGACAGGGTTTCGTCGTGAACGGTCGCATCGCCGGAGAATTCGGGGAATGGTACGGTAGGCTCTGAAGGTTCTGAGTAGTCCGAATCCTCAGTTTCAGTCATCAACGGCGGGGTAGATGGTTCACGAGTTTCCTCTTTGTCGCTGAACGAGGGCGCCGAGTCCGATGTCGGCGTGCGAGGAGCTTCATCCGAGACGAACTGGGCCTCGGTCAGGACTGGAGGTTGTGAATCTCTGTGAATCTGCTCGGAGGAATCAAGAGTCGGCTCGACAGGTTCCAGGGGAACCGCGGACAGCTCAATGGCTTCGGGGGCAGGAGGAACGTCGGGAACAGCGGGCTCGTGTGTTTCAGAAATAGAAGGGTCCTCGGCAACTTCGGGAGGAGAATCCTCAGTTGCTTTGGGTAGCAAGGGCTCGATTGCCTCGGGAATGTGCGGGGCGGTGGTAGGTTCGATCGTGTCAGTGGAAGACGTACAAGAATCGACTTGGATAGTCGAAGCCAGAGCGGATGGCACATCCTCAAATAGAGAACCTGACTCCATCACCTCAACAGCAGGTGGCAAAGCTCCCTTCTCGAGATCGAGGGAAGGCGAAGCTGAATCGACCCGATTAGGTGACGCCGTCGCAGAATCAAGAATAAGGGGTGAGAGTGGCCCATTGTCGAAGTTGACGGGAGAGTTCAGCCCAGTCTCCGTCGCCGTTGCAAAGCTTGAAGGGCTGGACATGATGGCGAAGGCAGACGTGGAGTCTGCGTCATGGAACTCGGCATCAGAGTCGTCCTCGTCCTCTTCGACGATGGTTTCAATAGAGTACTCTAAGAAACCTTCGAAGGATCGGGGAGGGGTAGAAGGCCTAGCTCGTGGTACGTCTGGAGAAATGACGATCACTGGCTGTTGGCTTATCGACTCTTCGACCTTTTGTACTTCAGCTTCAAGCAATGCTTCCGACTCCGGTGTAACCGACTGTTCGTCGGCATCGACTGGTTCGCAGCAGTATTCGAGCCAACCTTCTAGAGCGGGCTCTTCAGATGGCTCGTCGACCTTCGCGGCAGGCGATACCGGCAAACAGACGGCAGCAGACTGGAGCTTGGGCTCCGACTCAGCAACTTCTTCTACTTGAACAATCACATCCTCTAATTCTGGTGAAGGCGACGGTTCCGAGTCGGTCAGTGACCGCTGTTCGGAACCAGAGTCGGTTGATACCAGAGATTGTCTGGAAACAGACCGACTGCCTTTGCCCAGCAGGCTGAACTGTCGTGGCCCGTTGAAGCGCTGCATCGTCGGTGTCGGCGGCCCTACTAGTGAATCGTCGACAAGGTCGCTATCGGAGTTTTCTGAACCAGCAATGTTCGGATCTGCGTCAAATTGTTGAGGGGTTCCCGAAAGCGTTCGCATAAAGGTCGGCGTGATCAAGAGGCTATCGTGGGGCGTGCCAATGTTATCATCGGTAAGGCTTGGAGTAGACGACGAAGATGGATATGTAGTTTCGCCGTCTTCAGTCATCGAGAAGGACAGACTGCTTCGGCTGCAGTCGAGCTGATCTCTAAAAGCGATTGCTTTGGCTGGAGTTTCAGGCTGTTGCGAGGGCCCCACGGTGTCATTGACGCTTCCGGCCATCGTTTCAACCCCACTGCTATTCTGAAGCGTTTCATCTTCGAGGATCGAAGGTTCGGACGACTGAGTGAAGCTGCCATCGAAAGAGTCCGGCACGGCCCCATTAGGCGTCGGGATCGGGAGCGGGCTACTAGATGGTAAAGCTTCCATCTCTGCAGGGTCATTCGCTGCAGGAACTGGCCGCTCGACAACGCGAATGTTCTGTGGTTGAGAGTCGTAGAGAGCGCACGTGTCTTTCACCACCAAAGCAATGTCGGACTGGATTCGGCTCTTGAGTTTCGACAGGAAGTTCTCCTTCACAGTCTCAGGATCTTCGTCTTGGCGCTGTCCCGTCGCGTAGTACGGCGAACGGGCCACGAGGGTCTTGTCCAAAACCAGGTGGCCACGCTTGTGAACCATTAGAGTGATACTTATATCGTTGCCTCCGAGGATATCCGCAACGCCGGTCTGCACTCTGTCCAAGATGGCTTTGACCGTTCTCCGAGAATAGCAGGCAGTTGAGTCGAGGCAGACAGCAAATGGCTTTTCGGTTTTCCAGCCGCGCCCGGACAGCTCATAGACTGTGACTCTGAGGTCGTCCATCTCATTCAATTCTTTGTCAGTATCATCCCGCACCGCTTCGAAGGCATGTTGAAGCTGGTTCAAGAACTGGTCGCAGTCGAGGCCTTCGGGGTGTTCGAAGAGGAGCAAGTTGCTATCAAGCTCGCGGCGCAGGTGCCTGTGATCCAGTCCAAGTTGATTCCGTATTTGGAATCCGACGTGAACGGCATTTTGTTCAGAGTGATGGGACTCATCCAGGAAGTCAAATCTGTCACGAGACTGGCGGTGATGCCTATCAAACGCCATCTTCCTAGCATCCAAGGCACGTTGCATCGCTGTTGACAAAACCCATGCCATATCTTCTCCATGGGACAAGGTTAGCGGGGAGCTCTGCTTGCTCTTCAGCGTGATGGTACGTTGCCATTCTCTTTGTCTGCGTGACTTGCATCGACTCCGGAAGGATAGAGTGATCTCGTAGCCGGGGACGAATTCCCAATCTTGGGTAGCATCAATAAACCGCGATTGGGGGACGTGAAGGAGGGAGACCGGGTTGCTCAGAGGCTTGAGAATTTCCAGCTCGCTTGAGGATCGCTCACGTGTCCTCCCTTGCGTCCATCTGAAAGTCTTGTCGTGAAGCTTCATAAAGGAGCCGATGATGCGGTCTGTCGAACGAGCAATCTCCATGGCAGACGGCTTATCCATGGGGTACTTCTGGTACGAACTGAACGTTTTCGTTGCCCATGGTTCCGGGCCTCCACGGTAGATCTGATAGGTTAACTCAAATCGGAGCGGCTTCCCTTCCCCAATCTGTGGGATAGTCCGCTCAAGGGCGGTTGAATCTCTGCGGGTGAGGAGCTCATGAGAGCAGTGGGTTAAGCGACGTATAAGTGCTTGACATAGTTGATCGGTTGGTTCGAATCCGTACGATGATTGGTATTGTCTCTCATAGGTAAGATCCAAAGACGGCTGAAACTTGATGCAGACTCGGACAGCCAAGCCCCCAGCAGGCGAGGGGGTGTTGAATTTGGGGTCGTTGAGACCAGTTGCGGTTCGAGGCCGCCCCGGGCTTGAAAGAAGGAACCTCCTCTGAAAGCCCGAGGCGCCGGAATGCGACGTTGAAGGACGGACGAGTTCAGACTCGGCCATGTCCGTCTAGAGTTGTGAAGGCGAGAGTAGCGCCAATGGCCATTCGGTTGGTAGTGTTGAAAAAAGGGAGTTTGAATCTCAGTTCCCACCAGACTCAAACCGAACCCGTCAGATGGTGTCCGGGGGAGGGACAACGGGGGTTTTAAAAAAGCGGTTTCGACGGGGAAGAGACAAAGTAAGGTAGCACTGGCTGGCCCTAATGCAGGCAGTCTCCATCAACAAGTCCATAAAAAGGACGGTAGCACCCAGAGAGGAAAGGTTGCTTGGGACCAAAGAAAGAGGAACCAAGAAAAGTGACGAAAACGGGTAGGAGAAGGAAGCGTAGGCGCTGCAGAAGCAAGAAAGCCAGAAGCACCAAACAAAAGGGCAGCACCAACCGCGCGGGCGGGTCACGCGAGGGATATGTATGAGATGTTATGGCTACGATTGTGGTGCGGTTCTGACGCGCCGATGCGAGAGGTTGGGCGACCCATGGCATGATACGCCCAGCGTAGCTTATTACAGGGGAAGCCTAGCCAACCGGAGGAGCCTCTGCGCAGGAAGCTTTTCTTTGCAGGACAACCTCGAATTACTCTTTAGGTAGTCCGCTGCTCCGGATGCCTTTCCCAACTTGGTCTACCAGTTCAAGGTGGTGGTGTGGCCGTGTTTGTTTCTGGAGTATCCGTACGATAAGGCTGATTGATCATGGCTGATGAGCTGACAGCGAGACTGAGACAGTGGGAGCGGGAGGCAGAGAAACCACAGAAGGAATCTATCCATATTGGCTGGTGACCGAAGTGGGCGCCGGCGAGGTGATTGTCAATGCTACCCGTACCCGCATTGCCGGAGAAGAAAGCAACAAGTGAAATTCACTCAAGGCTCGGTCGGATTGCCATGGTGATTTCCCACGGGCGGCTGCATTGTTGTAGCGTCGTAGCGAATGGCGGCAAGACAACACAACAAGACAACAACATCTCAAATCCACCAGCCATATCCGCTCTTTTCGTTTCCTTGGATGCCAGATTCAGCGAACCCGCGCGAAACACAACGTCGCAAACTCAGCGACGCCCAAAATGAGTCAGCAGCGGCGCAAGCAAGCAGCTTCCAAATAATGGAAGAGGCTGTTTAGTCGCCCGAAATATGCCGCTTGGTTGTGGACTCCTCACTGCTGCTCCTCTTCGCTGCATGCTGTGCCTTGAATTGCGCTGTCCTGTCCTGTTTCTGAGGCTGGCATGTGCATATTACTCCGTAGTCTCCTGCCTCATCCAACGCATTGAAATGGAGTTCGCGCTTGACATAAACACAAGGGTCAAGCGAAAGCAGGTGGGGATTGAGCGGATTCCGTACCCCTTATGGCTGCGATTTCTGCAAGTGGTCGTCGGCGTCAGCGACTCAGCAGGCCCATCGACGACTCAGCGCTCGCGTGTCCGTAATAATCCAAGGATTCAGATATCAGGCAATTGGGCAGACCCGACTCGGGGGATGCGGGCCTGGCAAACTGTCGTACAGCACACACGCAGTCTGCAGAAGGCTGGATGCTCCGGGCTGGGCGCCATGGGCTGAACCTGGGCGTCGGAAACTCTCGCTAAGGCGTCTGAAGGAACCCGAATCCGTCACCAGATCCTGGCATGATCTCCGTCCAAACCAAGCTGCCAGATGCCGGGCCAAGGGTGAAGCGTGGGAGAGGAGAATTACGGCACAGATCGGAGAGGGGCGGGCTCCCTGGAGTCACTTCTGGCGCCAGCTGCTGCTCCTCCTCCTCCGGCCCCCGGTTTACCGTTCGAGATTGGAGGAGCTTGGGATCGTGAATGTCTCCAAAACGACTAACTCGACCCGGGCTGGTTTGCATGACGACAGTCGGACCCGGGCGCCCGTTCTTGACCGCTGCTAGACTCAGCCGTCCGCTCGAGACATGTGCCGAAGGTGATTCAGAAACCCAAAGGGATTGAACCTTTTTCTACCAGACGGCAACGCTTGGAGTTGACCCCCGTAATACTATGCCTCCCAGCCAATGGTTACTGTTGCATGACTGTCAAAAGGAAGGTCTACATCGCATCGATCTCTGCGCCCAGTCAACGTCCCGCATTACATAAGTAGGAGCTCCGCATATTCAAGAACCCGAAAAGGACCCCAGAATGTCAAGGGTCGACCAGAATCCATGTCCAAAACCCACCTACTAACACCATGTCGATGTCGTGGTCTTGCATCTTGCCCACTCTGATGGGACAATCCACTCATAGTGGAAACCGTGGATACTCTCCTGCGACCACTCAAAGAATCGAGAAAGAGAAAAAATACTCGTCGCTTGCAGGTCCGAGTCCTTCTGCGCGTGAAATTTGGCGTCATGGCGCCAGCCACGCGCCTTTTCCGCTCGCCGTCCGTCTCTAGAGTCTGCCGTTACCGGCTCCTTACCGCTCCGAGACCGAGGGTCTTTGTTCAGGCCGGCATTCCCGCTGCCGAAGAGGCATGTGGCAGCCGCCTGTCTCAGCACCTCTTTACGAATACATCTCGTTTAGATGTATGGTTGGTATACGTCGTCGGGCCATCTTGGCACATAATGGGCGTCATGGAATGCATCCAGACATGGTGCAATGCAAAGTCTCAGGGTCCCACCATTCTGCTTTTTCGGTCCCCTCGGCGTCTCTACTGCAAAAAATGCCCTCTGGAACCATGCTGCGATCTGCCAGATGCTAGTGTAGGTTCTCTGACTCGGGTGAATTGGACGGATGGTGGTCCGTCCGAAGTCGTGGGCAGCTTCGAGACTCCGCCGACGCACAGAAGAGTTCGTCTCGATCGAGCAGCAGATGATGCATCGAAGCCTGGGTCCGAGCTCGAAGTTGTTCAGGATGCTGAAGTGATTCGACCGCCATCCTGGGGTAGTCGACGACGCGCCGTCGTTGGTCGCCACCAATCGCAGAGTACTCTTGTCGCGGCCCGCAAACGGTTCCACGCTGCCGAACCTTCAGTGTCTTCAGGTGAGCGGAGGTCGTCATCGATGGCTAGTTTCGAACCGTCTCTACGCGGGTGACCCTTGAAACGCCGGAACTTGGACCCTGTCAGTGTGCCAAGCATTCTCCCAACGACTAAACTCACTTGATTAGTCCTGAGAATGGAGAGTTGAGATTGAGCCCGTGGCCATCTTCTATGTTGCGTGAGAGATGGTGATAGCAAAGCTGTGGACAAGAAAGGGAGAATTCATTTATACATGATATCGGCTCTCTGCATAGACTTCAAAGTTTGGTGGTTGGACCTCAAGCAATGCTTTCTGCTGCTACCGCGAGCGCGCTGCAAGGCGATGTCAGGCTGTTAGTTATGAGGGGTCGGGAATGTGACTAGCACTTAGCGACGAGATACCTAAACGAAGTCAGTGCCGCCCGTCCTGCTCGTTCACTCATAGATGTTATGTTGTGACAGAGTCGAAAGGATCCGGCTTACAGTCAGAGGTGATAGAGATGTGTCCACAGATCAACTCGACGAGGGCTCGACATACCTGGGACTGCTTTTGATTTCTTTCCCACAAGATTTGCTCGTCCGGAAGTCTTGCTCGTTTCGGTTCTTCCCACCAGTGTAGTTGTTAAGACGTTCGACGTTTCGTTCTTCGGAGGTGAAAACTTGGCTATAAGGAGTGAATGCAGGGGCAATTTGACGGCTCGCAATGTACCAGAGCGATTGCAGAGTACACCATAAATCTGTATCTGTCGAAGATGCGGGTTTGCCTCGCAGGCGTATTCCTCAAGGACACTTCTTAGTCACACGCCAGCGCGATACCATCTTTAGTATTCGAAGATGGAGCTCTTTTGAATTGCCTCTTAGGTCACATCGCCGAAATCTGATCTCCGGAACGGCACAATCAGTCTCGCCCTGGGTGAAGATTATCAACCAGGGATAATTGGCGGATATTTTTGACATACTTACCTTCACAGTACCTTACCTAAAAGCTTAGCTGTAGTCGATCTTATATACTAGAATCTTTGTCCTCTATGGCCATTTGTCTTGCTCTTACAACTGGTTCGCGAATATGTGAACGATGCATGCTCATACTGGATAGACAGTGCCCATATGAAACCTGTGGAAAAACAAGCTATGAGCTGCCCAGGTTCGATTAGCTCGGATGTGTTTCAAATAGCCGTGGTAATCTGTACTTACACCTCGGGGAAAGACTTCGCGATATGGCCGTGAATATGTTCATCCCGCAGCTACTCCAGATCAGCCCGACTGTCAGAGCTGGAGTAGCTTTCTTGATCCAACCTAACCCCTTCAAGGATGGAAACGCGAAGAAGAAGACATCGATGAACCCTACAGGTCAAGTGTTCAAGACTGATGAGTCCCGTCATCATGTTAGCCTTATCATGGATGTCAACGCAATCAATAGGCGCCAACCGAGAGATGACGACAGGATTTCGTTCAAGGACATCGCATGGCATGCAAACCAACTGCTTGGGACATTCGATCGTAGTTTCGATATCGCCACCATCTCTACGCTTTTTGATAGTGTGGTCAGGGGGCGCTGTGACATGGAAGATGTGGCAACTTGAGGATGGCAGGTGGAAGGTAGTGATGACGGAGACAAGATTTCTCTCACCCAGAGTAGAGTATTGATCGGGATGGAAGCCTCTCGTGTGGGAAGGTACAGGCCGGGTAGGGTCCTACTACGAAGGAGGCAGGATTACGTGATGAGGCAAAAATGTCGAGTTATTAGGAAAGAGCACCGAGCTGTCACATTCGATGGCAGGTGCGGCCATGATTCGATACGCCTTCGACCCGTGTTGTTCACCATTAAATCAAGCTGATCACTAGGTAAGGTAGATAGCGCAAGTGCTTGTAACAGTCTCGATAATATTCTTTGTATCTTGGATACCCACCCCCAAGCAAACATCTTGATCGTGAAATGCCGCTTTGCTAGAGTGAAAAAGAGGTCATTTCTCATCAGCTTTTCTGTATTCCAAACCCGCCCATCATCTCTTTGCAGCAAGTCTGTTCCCTCTCTCGAGATGGAACCTCATCCTCTACGCTCCCTGGACGTAAGATGCCTCGCCCGCCGCCTCTCTTCTTCAGTCAGAACCCAAATCATTCCATCCTCTTCTCCGTCATCGGGCTGAGCAGAAATCTCCTCCCACTCCTCCTCTTCCATGTTGGCCACCATCAAGATCTGCGAGACCCTCGCAAACAGCTCCCTGACGCCGTAGTTGCCCTTGGACACGGTGCTGACGATGCTAGAGAAGTCTCGCTCCATGCGGATGACGCCATAGGCGTTCGCCCGGGCGTCCCAGACTCTGCGTTCGAGCACACGGGAGAGGTACCGCGCCGTCAGGTCGTGGAGCGTTGTAAAAGTATGAGGCG